ACGCTGGATACTGAAGATCAGATGGCCAAAATAATAAGAATATGCAACAAGGAACTCTGGCTGGCAACGAACCAACCAAAAACCCATCGCCCAACAAATATGCAGTGGAAGAAAATGGAGATGGATTGTATTAGACAGACAGTGAGACGGCCGTTTGGGGACATCACGCACCAGGCCATGCCGTTGATTGTAACCCACATGAGAAACAACGAGTTGGGCGTCTGAGGGTGACATAGAGGAGATGGTGTGTGGAAGAAGTGAAAGCTTTTGGGCAGTGGTAGATCCAGGTTGAGAGGATAGTAGAATGGTGATGTGTTACTGAAGCCCTACGTTCCACGAGGAACCCAGGAGACAAAAAAACAGATGGATTCATGTTTCCTGCTTTCTGCTGAAGTGATAGCTATTCACCACTTAGGAGTGAAATAAACAGTTTTTCGCATTTTACCACGATGGTAATTTTATGTTGTTTATAGTTATGATCTTCACGTAACATCATTTCATATGCTTGTTTGTTCCGTTTCACGCTCTCTATGAACAGTACTTGTCACAAACTAAATCGCTAGTTAACAAATACACCATAAGAAATTCCAGCTGTATTAGTTACTCACAGTTTAAAAAGTACCTTAAGGTTTGTTGTAAGGATAAGTCAACTAGGTGTATTACATAAATAGATAACATTTCGTTATTATCCAGAACGTTCTACTAAAAAATAATTGATATTGTAAGTCAGCATTTTCGTTCTTGCAGCGCAACTCAAACAAATATTAAAGTTGTATATCAGAAACCATCATTTCCTGACCAATCATAAATTATGCCGTCAATCAGATGATGTAGATACGGGGATTCCGTTGGGACCAGTTTTCGATGATATATTTATCACTGGCAACTGCAATCAATGAGACCAAATTCTATACAAGGAATGTTGGTGATTCTATTTATGGCTCAGTAACCTGAGACATACATAGTCAATTACAAGCGTTTAACGCAGCTTAACCGAACATTGAATTCGTGTTAGAACAGGAGGGAGGAGGTGGATTCCAAATCCTGGCATTAGATATCGTAAGAAGAAATGATACAACTTATCAGAAATTTACTTATTAGGCGGTATTTGTACTTTCATAGCTTTCACCTAAGAAGCGGGAGTTAGTGAAGAGCTGTGGCTCAGTGGTTTAGGGAGATGATTTACCAACTATTGTCATAGGTTCGGGCCCCGCCCCACCTACCGAGGTTTGGACAGTTAGATATTGTCAGCACTCCTCACACAATATATGTGGCTCATTGCTGAGTACCTTTCATTAGGGAGTTAGTGAGGTCACTCTACTGCAGAGCCAGGAAATTATGATCGACGGATGAACAAGAGGTTTTATAAGGGAGTTCGATGGTGAGTTCCATCATGAAGCTGATAAGAATACACTTGAGTGAAAGTCTAAATGTGCTAGACGTTAAACATGGGTAACGAAGTAGTTAACAATGCGAATCAGAAATCGAAGGTTGCATTCAACAGCACATTCTCGGCTAGTAGAATATCATCTATTCATCAGACAAAAACGTTTCGGTAGTGCGAACCAAGGTAGATTACTTGTCACCATTAAATACATGTACTTACAAAAGCAGATACCATGAAGGAAAACAGACGGTTTAAACTCGTTTTACTGCACATATCCCAAGGAAACCGAATTGGTATGCATACTTCAATCGGCATGATGTGGGCGCTGTAAATGTATTCAGAACAATTGATAAACAGTGGTTTTACCCTACGTTGTGGAGGTCATCAAAGTAAGATCAAAAACTAAGCTGTTTATTCAGAAAGAATCAGTAATAAACCTTGAACCGCCTTGGTAACAATACGAAGCAATCCAACTTACGTTTTATCTAATTTTTTTATTGATTGACTGTGATGACATCTTTTTGTGTTGGGGTCAGTTTTTCTATTGCCTTTGTCTTTTGATCACATTTTTGCTTACTTCCGGATTATGTTGCGTAATCTATTACTAACATTATTATGGAACTTCCATCCCAGTTAATTATACAACTTAGCATGAAAAAATGCTTTCGACTATCCCCGTCTTACAACAGTTTCACTACTCCTTCATGACTGATAGAAAAGCATGCGGCTCTTTATTTCCAATTGTGATACTTAGTATGTAAGCAGCTGAAGAGAATACAAAGGAATACATTGGACTCTCTGAATTTGTTCCACTTTGCTTTATTGACTTCAGGTATGCTAGTCTCTGTATCTTAATCGGTATATTGACGTTAGTTATACTACTTGCGGAACCCATACTACAACTAGACTCATCACATTAGTTAACACAGTCGGAATACAACGTGTGTATTCAAGTAAATAATGTATATCTCAGAAATATACTAGACACAAAGAGTGCGGGCAACCTGACAAAGTCTAAGTCATAGGCTGCTGTTTGAATGTTCATCCCAAGTGTAGCTATTAGTCAGCTGGTCGAGCATACAAGGTCAGTAAGTTCCGTATACATGAAAATTGTCCTGGATTATAAGTAGCTGATAATAAAATAAGAAACAAAACGAATCTATGCTATTCTGCAGAAGGGTATTGAAATGACTTCGAGGATCACCGGAGCAACTACTGGAAAAACTAACCAGAATTATATATTTAGTGGAAAAGATCTTTCAAGACAAAATACAGAAATATTGTAGGGGACGACAAGACTGAGACGCAGGAAGGAATGTTTATTATTGACATGTCGTATAGTAGTGATGGAATATTGTACACTTACCACTAAAAGTCATTTGGACAATGTGCTTCATTTCCTCTTCTGTTTTCATCTCGACTTGCTCTTAAAACGCTCACACTGTCTCTTACGTTTCTCTGGGTAGAATATTTACCCATCGCTGCTATTTGCCTATGATTTCTGCTGCCCTCTCAACATATACTACTTATATTCATTCCGATCAGCAGCGTCCACTACACTATGATTGGCTAGTTTTTATTGTACGTTGTTGGGAGTAAAATGATTGAAAGCCCTGGGTCTAAGTCTCATGCTTGTTGATACTCATCACTGGGACGTGTCTGCAACTGTTAGGTTAACTGGTGTTCCTCCGGTGATTCGAATTTGCGTCACTTAGTGTTGAAGTCACAGACTCAACTAATATGAATCTGACAGTGGCAAACTTGTCTAGATAAGTTATTTTGATGATTGCTAGGACAGCCTTTTAAGTTAATCAAGCTATCATTCTCACGTCACTAGAACTCATTCAGGTCATTTTAGAGGACTATGCATAAAAGTTACAGTTTTATTTTATCTAACGGTACTATACTAAATATAGTCAATTACTCAGTCTTTCCGCTATCATTTGAAGGTAATTACTAATTGAGTGCAATGTTATTTCTTCAGTCAGTAATGCCAGATACATTATTATCATCATGATCATCCACAAACCATTCAGTTGTCATTCAAATAAATAATCAGTTATTACTTCATAATATAGTCCCCATGTCTAAGTACAAGAATATACACGAAAACAAACTGTAGAACTGAAGAGAGCTAAAAACAAACATAATTTTGTGCATATGACTATGCTATGTTACAGTCTTTGTAGCATTGCTGGCGTTTGGTGGAATCACAGTGTGAGTGATGTTGAGATTAGGCGAAAGGTACTAGGCAAGTCGGTTGATGTTGTGGACCTTCATCATCATCAACATAGGACCAGGCATTACTGCGTAACGCTCGGAGTTGCCACAGCTCATATCAGTACATCAAGTAGAAAGGTAGTGAGATGAAAGATGATAAGAAAATTCAGTCAGAAGAAATATGAAGTGTGAGAAGAAAGAAAGGAAGAATGACAAAATGGTGAGAATCGGTATATTGTTAATATGAGGACAACGTGTGCATACATCTGCGCCACTGACATCGGTCCTCAGAGTCTCCAACCACTGGTTCCTCTTATCCCACGGACCCCAACCACCTAGTCTGCATAGCCCCACATGGCTCAAACCAACAGTCAGAGACTTCATACATTGGTGCCATGTTTTAGTCTGGCCACTTCGGGCCTTTTTCCAGCCTGAACCTACTTCAGCCAACATTATGTGACGAGGTAATCGGTGACTAGGCATACATAGTACATATCTTTCATTGGGGAGGTGGTTCGGATACGTGTTGCGCATTCCGAGTCACGACCTACCTCGACATGCCATGCTGCAGGAAGTTGGATTAATTTGTAATAGGCTTCGCGGTGGCCAGACCAAGATGTGGCACCAGTCGTGACCGTTGGTTCGAGCCGTGTAAAGAGATGAAGACCGTCTAGCTAGGGTCCCTGAAACCATATGAATCAGTGGTTGAGAGCTTTCGATGACATGATGGAAACCGGTCACAATGGCGCAAATGTACTTACCCTTTGATGTCTTGAATATATACGCTAGTTTTCATCTCCAGATTGTTTATTCTCTCATATAATTTTGTCTAAATTATTATCACTCTATTTCTGTCCACATTTCCAACAAACTACAGATATTCATCAACAACTGTCTACGTTCGATACTGAAGCTCAGATGGCCAGAACAAGAAGAATAGGCAACAAGAAACTCTGACTGGCTGGCAACGAACCAACCAGCAATCTATCGCTCAACAAACATGCAGAAGGAAGTGGAGATGGATTGGGCATGCACTGAAGAGACCATTCGGGGACATCACGTGCCAGGCACTCGAGTGGAACCTAGATGGGAAACAACAAGTTGGGAGTCGATGCCGAGGGTGACATGGATATGGTATGAGGAAGAAATGAGAGCTTGTAGGCAACCAGGTTCAAAAGATTGCAAAGAACAGAGTGGAGGCGTGCTACTGAAGCTCTATGTTCCACTAGGAACCCAAGGGATAAATAATAATAATAATAATTCTGTCCACATGTTCCTTGTACACTACTGTGAAGTGTGCTAACCTAAAGCAATGAACTTGTATGCGAGGTTCTACATTGATTTCATCTGTCTGTCAGTCTATGGTACAGTCTAAAAAAGAATATGCAAAAAATAAAAATTAGCCAGTGTTTATTAAATTAACTACTATTTGAAAAAATAAAAAGTAAAGTCAAAGCATAGAAAATAGGTTGGTTGAGATGATGTTAAAATCAGAGACAAAAACATACTTCAAGTTTGAAAAAAACATAAGAAAATCAAGTGAAACAAAGAACATGGAATGGAATACTCGATCAGAAAGCGCTAACAACAAATATTACTACTAGTAATAATAATAATAATAACAAGCAGTTTATTCCCAACAGTTGCCCATTCAATTTAGAATTCTCAGCATCTGTAAACAGATGATAATATGAATGATAGTGATAACGGTAATGTTATTCACTGCAAATGGTTGGAATACAAAAAAAAAAAAAGAGAACAGAATTGATATGTTATGGTTTAGAGCTTTATCATAGTGAATTATCCTCTATGAGCAGGTTGAGTTGAAACACGACGAAGTATAGCCTCAGGTATTGGTGTACTTGAAATTGGTGGCATTATGATTTTTGCAATATTTTCAAGATTATCCAAGTATACTTTTGGTGTTAATAAGTGTGTACCACCAACAACAACTTCCCAGTTCCAACCAACTCCACCACCTGGAATGGTAGGAGTGTTTTCTGTTGTCGGTCCAGTAGAATTCCCTGTATTCCTGTCGCTAGCAACCAAACGAGCGTCTAAACACTGAGAGAATAAAATGAACACAGTCGATAAAATTGTATAATCGTTAATGAGTAGTATTGTAAGCTTGCCATGCTATAATATCAATATAACACCACTTCAGAAAGTGGTCGCTTCTTAACATGAGTTATGCTTCTATGCGTAAATAGATTATGGAGTGAGGTGTTATGAAATAAGAAGCGATTCCCACTTCCTCTTCAGAAATACTTAGTAGATAACAAGCCTTTTCGGATAAAAAGTGACGACCACTTTGATGTAGAAAGCTACCAATCATAATAATTGGCTCAATCCCACTTTCACTTGTTAGTTGTGCATAATACACCTTTCCCGAACTTTAGATAAGTAAATAATTAAAGCGAATGTTGATATGATGGTGCTTTTCTTGCTAATACAGGTAGGTTGGTAGATCACAACTGTTTCCTGTAACAAAACGTGTTGGGACTGTAGAGGGGATTTTTTCATACGAATCAAGATGTAAGTGAGCTTGCGATCTTTATGGAAAATATTAGAGTTGCGAAAGCATTTACCTAATTAAAGACAAGCTTAGCCAGGATTTTAATGATAACTAGTCAGTAATGGAATACTGATGACATCATGTTAGGACAGGAAATCTATTCACTACAGTTTTCTCTGTGAACAATCTAACTCACCCGTACGACATTATGTTGGAGTAAACTGGATAATTAGAACTTCAGTTATTAGCACGGCAGCGTTAGTGAACGTGATGGACACGACTGGTACATAGTGGCTATCAGCATTAGACATATTTGTTTCTACACTCTGAGTAAAATGGATACGATCTTCAGCAGTCAGCATGAAATAATCGAAAGGAAAGTAAATTCATAGCAGGAATATAAAGACAGAATAAGAAGCTTGTTTTATTTCTTTCCATTTAAAGCTTAGTATTAGAGTTATGAGAAATGGCTCTTAGAAAAAAATAGTCAACTGCAAACTGACTACATTGGTTCGAATTGATTAAAAATGCTTCACCCCCCTTAAAGTTTTTGAAAGTCGGATATAAAGCGAGTCGGTGAGGACAACTTTGCCTTATACCAGTGAAACCTAACCTAACTGAGCATTTCTGATGACTCTGCATTCTTGATCACTGTTGTCTCCGTAGAAATGGTCGCGTTCAGTGGTAACACCAAGTAGGTAATTCTAAAAAGAGGTGGTATGCTTTTGGGCATGATGCAACGAAGCGTTATTCATTGATTGCAATCATCTTTAAACACCAGTTTCAGTGGTTAGAGCATTTGTTACACAAGTCAATCCAGTGATTCTCACACCAGTCACAGTTGGCTTGTCATGAGACTGGTTGGAAGAAGCAGATAGGCGGCCAGTATATGATTTAGTTCCGTGGGATGAAGGTTAGTTCTGCATCTGTAGATGCCTTACAACATCCTGTATGGAGTTGAAGAAACCACGCAATTCAGTGGCTTCAAACGATAGGATATATTACTCAGAATCGAAACCAGTGGCAATTTTACTACAGTTTCCTTGTTTTTATATTACTGGTGTATCTTTGAGATTGCTTCTGTTTTCGTGTTAATTCCTTCTACCTTTTCTATTTCTTCATCGTGTCGCTTTATTACTTGTATGCTGCATGTTTTCTGGTGCTCATATCATCCCAAAATTGTGTTCTTATAATAATTGATCTAGGGTCAATTTGATTATTCAATTGGTTTGTTGCATCAAACCCCTCTTGCTAATTCAACTTTAATACCAAGGGTGGTCAACATACTAACCCTCTCTATGTCTATACTAACAGTTCAACCCTTCATTATATCGATTTTTCTTCTTCAACCCATTTATCCTTTATTATAATTTATACAAATATGTATGACAATCAAATGTGTGACCGGGATGTTCAAAATGTATTGCGCTAAAATACCATAGGTTAAAGATCAACTACGTCTTTTTGTTTCGTCGAAAACTGTCATAGTTCCACTTAAACTACTCACGGATAAATCATACCAGTTGTAAAGTCATCAAAGTAAATCACCATTGAATTATGCAGGATCAAATCTTCGCAAGAATATGATCCTCTTCAAGATCGCAGACAATCTGTGGGTTGTCATCAAAGTGAACTTAGGTGCGGAGCGACTTCTAACACTAAGAATCAAGATAAAAGACACTGGAGTACTGTGACATTCAGTTCACTGTCCACACCGACATTTATTGCTACATAAGGCTACTATTCCATTACTGAGTGGTGCAAATCCTTAGTTATATACATGGAATGAGGAACCCATAGTATATTTAAGGTGTGTACCTTGTTAGGTTGCAACAGCATAGACTTTAAGAAAATTAACTTGTGATTATTTTAAAACTAAACAGTGAGGTGATTTGATAATAAAGGCAACTGATACACCGTTAAAATCTCGACAATTAAAACAAGAGTTTCAATTATAAGAAGGTCCAGTTGTTCATGAGGCGAGAACCTCATCAAGTAGCTATAAGGCATAGCAAAGACTACTTTTCATAGTAAAGCCTAATAACTGTTACACGTTCTTGCCCTAGGCTGTTTAGCCAAACAGACTCAACTATCCACAAAATACCAAATGAGTAGGACATCGTTTAGCGGTTAGGAGGATACATTGTATTCATTCCAATGTCACAATTTCGTTATTGTTGTTCTAACCTTTGCTCTTCTTCTCATTATAAGTGTTGATCACATTTCTTTTCCTATCTAGATATATTTTTATCTTGTATTTTGATGTGTCAGGTTTAAACAGTTTGGAACTGTTATAGTGTACAGTCAGACTGACAACATCTTCATAAGAACCCATATACATACATATACGTTGGTTCATGTGCCTTTTCCAGAAACTTTGGAGCGAGAGACGATTGGCTGTAAAAAGTTTCAGGGATACACAATTTCTTGTGAAGACTTTGTTAATCCTACTGCAATTTTTTGTGCTGATATTGATATTGGACTTCAAACATACGGGTAGAAATTAATATACTTTCCAGTGCAATTAGTTCTTCATAGAAAATGCTACGTATTTCTTAAAGAAGTATTACTGTAAAAAGTGTGATTAATATGATGAACAGTGTTGGCTTATTTTATCCACACTGACCTATTTCAAATGTTTTTCATAACTGCCTTCAATAAAAGCGTTTTACAATGCATCCACCTTTTTTTTTCTTCTGCTTAAAAAGTATCGTATCTTAGATATTAGAGCTTGTCTACTTACTTATTATGTTAAGAGTAAAAATTATAATTAATTATAAAATTGGTAAGCAACAAACAAACACCAAAATGTTTGACTCATAGATTTAGGCTAGGTCTTAGGTTCTGACTCTACTCATCGTATGTCAACCTAGGTAACCAGGTAGCATTAAATGTTTGCATACAACAAATGTGGCTCATAGCCTAGAACATAAACGTGTACTGGGGTTGAACTCGATTATATTCACTAGTATTCTTATTACGTTGATAAGTCGAATTTATACTCAGAAGTAAAACATGATGGACAGTTAATAAGAATAATACTATGCATATTTTGTATAATTTATCTCTGTTTGCTTATCAGAAATCAGTTGAAAGATGATGAATAGAAATGAAAATATTTCAGTAGTAATAACGACCAAATCAGGAGTCATACAATGAGTTAGCGAAACATAAACTCCACTCACATCGTTGTAGTGATCAACTTAAAAAGTAATTGAGTTTAAAAGTACTATACATAGTTTATCTTTAATTTCAGTTACTAAGCGTTTATTTTTATCCAATAGAATAGAATAAAGGATGAAACAAGCAAGCAATACAACATTTACAGACAATATTTTGCATTATTATTATTATTATTAGTCCCTTGGGTTCCTAGCGGAACATAGGGCTTCAGTAGCACGTCTCCAGTCACCTCTGTTCTCTGAGATCTTTTGAACCTGGTCCCACGACAGCCCAGAAGCTCTCATTTCCTGCTCGCACGACCTCCTCCATGTCACCCTCGGACGTCCAACTCGTCGCTTCCCATGGGGATTCCACTCGAGCAACTGGCCTGACGCGTGATGTCCTCAGTCGGCCTTCTCAGTGCATGGCCAATCCATCTCTACTTCTTCCTGCATATTTGTTGGGTGATAGGCTCTTGGTTGGTTCGTTCCCAGAGTTCCTTGTTGCTTATTCTTTCTGGCCATCTGATCTTCAGCAGCGAGCGTAAGCAGTTGTTGATGAATGTCTGTAGTTTATTGGAAATACCTTTCGTGACGCGCCAAGTCTCTGAGCCATACAAGAGCACTGACTTGACGTTGGTGTTGAAAATCCGTATCTTGTTCCGCATGCTGAGTGCAGAAGATCTCCACACTGGTTTCAGGCTAATGAAGGCCTGTCTTGCTTTTCCGATTCTGACTTTGACGTCCTCGTCCGTCCCGCCTGTAGTTGAAACAGTGCTTCCTAGATAAGTGAAGGAGGTTACTTCCTTTAAGTTTCTCCCGTTGATGGTGATTGGAGTTTGTTGTTGTTGTTGATGGTGGTGGTGCGGTATCTTCATCACTTCTGTCTTCTCTATATTCACCTGAAGTCCCATCTTAGCTGCCTCTTCTATCAACTTGTTAGTTTTTGCCTGCAGATCTTCAAGTTTGTGTTACATTAGGCATAAGTCATCGGCGAAATCCAAGTAATATTTTGCATAGGACAGGTTTATTGACTATTTCTCAGGATGAATGTATTAAAGTTCATGAGATCATTAATCATCTAATTTGTTTAGAAAGTTATAATTCAATGAAGTTGTTTGTAACTGGAAAGGAAAGATCTCTTATGTGAGATGAATTTAGATTAGATGAAATCATTTTATTAGTATAGCTGCATATTTTGATTGCTATATTCACATCTCCAATATGTTTTCTATGATTATTTCCCTTTATTCCCTTTCTTCTTTTGACTTTCTAGCGTTGTCCATTTTGGAAATGTTGTGTTATGTACCAATATAACAGTGTACAACACAGTTTTGTTTTCATGAATCATATTCAATATATTCTTTTACGAAGCATTTTTGATTCACTTTGTAATGCATTATACTTGATGCGAATATACTTTATAGCCAATTATTGATGAGATAATTAATGTATACTTTATATAGAAAAGGGTGTGAATATTGTGACAATTTCGATTCTGTAAGTTCATCCAGTCTCAGCACATTGCTCATTTGTTAGTCAGAATGCATGCACGCACGCACACAGGCACTCAGTAACACGTAATGAGCCACACTTATTTTTGCGACGGTTAGTGATACTACCCTGCCAACTGGAAAAAAGGCTACCTTGTCAAACTTTCAAAGAAGGATAAATTAAGTCTTTGGAAGAGCTGGAGCAGAATCATGTTACTGTCCACAACAAGCAAAATATTAGGCTGTATCATCCTGGAGAGACTGAAACATGCTATGCATTCAAAAATACGATCAGAACAGGCTGGTTGGTTGGCCTCAGGAAAAATAAATCATGTATGGATCAAATTGCGACACTGCGCTGCTCATCATCATAGAACAGAGCATAGAATAGAAGTCAAATATCTACCTCAACTTCATCGACTTTGAAAAAGCCTTCGACAGTGTAGAAAGAGAAATGATCTGCCAGCTGCTTCAATACTATGGTTTTACTGCCAAAAACCTTTATCAACCTAATTCAACAGCAGCTATATGCTATATGATGCTGCATGCCAAGTGATTCACAATGGAAAGCTCAGCGATGCGTTTGAAGTGAAGACACAATTAAGACAAGGTTGTCACCTACTATAACCAGTGATTTTCCTGATTGTGGTTAATTGGATTACACAACAAACTGTGACGAGCGTGAAAAATGGCATACGCTGTTTCACGGATGAACAGATCCTAGAAGATTTGGATTTTGACAATGACGACTTGTCTGACTAATGTTGCAGAAATCCGGAGATCTATAGACAAAAACCAACAAGTTAGCACAAGAGGCGAGGCAGCGAAGGAACATGGGACTTCAGGTGAACGTGTAGAAGACAAAGGTGATGAAGATACCCAACCAATATCAACAACAAGCACCAATCACCATTAACGGGAGAAATCTGAAGCAAGTTACCTCTTTCATCTACCTGCCCAGGCAGCTTCACCTATACGGTACGAGACGGTGGTCACACACATGAGGATGTCAAAGCCAGGATCGGAAAGACAGCAAGACAGGAAGGACTTCATTAACCTGAAATAATCAGTGCGGAGATATACTACACTCCACTACACTCCACTCTGCATAAAGCGTGAACAATATCCGGATTTTCAACACTTATTCAGTCAAGTAAGTCAGTACTTCCATGTGATGCTTCAGAGACTTGGCACATTACGAAAAACATTTCCAACAAACTACAAACATTCGTCAACAGCTGCCACCTACACTCACTCGATACTGACACTGGAGATCAGATGAACCGCCTGAATAATAAGAATATGCAACAAGGAACTCCAGCTGGCTGGCTGTCAACGAACCAACCAACAACCCATCACCCAACAAATATGCAGTGGAAGAAAGTGGAGATGGATTGGATTGGGTACACACAGAAAACCATACGGGGACATCATAAGTCAGGCCAGGCCTACGAGTGGAACCAAAAACGGAAACGACGAGTTGGGCGTCGGTGCCGAGGGTGACATGTAGGAGATTATGTGAGGAATAAATGAAAGCTTGTGGGCAGTCGTGGAGCCAAGTTAAAAAGACTGCAGAGAAGAGAGTGAAATGGTGACGTGCTAATGCTCCACTAGGAACCGAAGGGACAAATGAATACTCCGCTGCGCAAACCTCGATATGTGGAGCAGAGTTAAAACACGTCAAGTTATATCACTGAGCCGTAGTTAACAAGTGAAACAGTTAGCTAGTGCTAAAAAGCAGTAATGATTAGCAAGAGGATATTCTTAAATCCTATCATTCAATGGAATCAGTCGTCCAGTCTTTTTTATTCACCACCCTGTTTTACTCGCTCACGTTTTGTGTCTATAGGGTTACAATTCGAGTATTTCAGTTCTTTACAGAAAGTCACGTTAATTTTTTCAAAATCACATTGCATTCAGTCATGACAGTATATATACACTGAAAATTTCGAAAACACTTTCTTTCATTCAGGTTGTGCACAAATCAAAACAATAATAGAAAGACATACTTTCTGAGTTAACTGATACCCCACTCTGGCTTCGGATAAAGTGAAACCACCAGCAACAAAGACTATAAGACGAGGGCCACAATGTTCAGTCATAGACGATGAGGTTGCATTACGATCTGATCCAAGTTTTGGGCTACCTGACCCAACAATATTGGAAGCAGAAGAACTAGAAGATAAAACTCCACTGGCATAAAACCGTGCAGAAGGCTTTTTAAATGTTTTAGAAGTAGTATCCACTGCACTGCCAAGGCCGTATACGTCTTTGATCCCCTTCGCTACAACAAATCCAAAACGTGAATTATCCAGCTTCCCTTGAATAGCTTGCTATATAACAAGAAAAAGCATAGAATTAAATAAGAAAATCCTGTTACTATATATATATATATATATGCATATATATACATATATATATATATGCTCAGCTCCCACTTTATCCCAAGACCTTATCTGTAAACATTAATTTCCTGTGCGTTGTCATGTGGGAAGATATCATCGGGATTGTGAACAGAATAGCAGTCTTGTAAAACTGTATTGTGAGTAAGGAGGGTGAATTATCTGTAAGACAATTTGGAAAATAACTTCCACGTAAAGAACCACATACATATAACTAACTATGATCAATTTATCCAAGAAAGAATATGAAACAAAATCAAGTTGGGTAGAATGAAGACTCTTTCACTACCCTGTGGGTGGACAATAGATATTGATTGAAGTTAAGTTATCATACACGTGCTTTGTTGATAGCTTAATAACAATTAAGGGGTCAACTCATCAAACTGTAAAAATGAAGTAGGTTTCCATAGTACACTGGGTCAAATTCCACTGCCACTAATAGTATATGACAGTATAATCGAATGCCTCGATATTGCCAAGAACTTCAATATAATGCTGAAGATAGATATTAGTTAGCAGTGGAAACACGTATTCCATAGTGACTAATTTAACCTCATAACTTATAAGACATGATGAGATCCAAGAGTCCTTCTACCGACTGTATAGGGTGAGACTAACTGCTGAAATTCTCATCATGAGAATAAATTCAAAAAGTTCACCTTGAAAAAACAGTACACTCTAATGTTCCGCATTGGAGTTCTTTTAATAGTAATGAGGAGTTTCAGAATAAGGATTCAACAGAATTGAAATTAAAAACTTCCAAAAATGCCATATGACATTAGCCTATCCTGATACCATTCTAAATTTCCTGAATATTTTTTTTAACAATAAATTAGCAGTAACTTTTGTTTCTCAGTATCATCATTATACAGTTAAACTCGTACAGGGAATTCTAATGTCCAATTAGGTGCAGAAAAGCAAGTACTTCAGCCAATACTTGACCACTTCTGAAGCATATGATTTAAAACATTCTATTGACTGGTTTAAACGGTAGTTGAGAGCATATACCCTATGTTTCCACTTTTGAGTCACAGTTGATAGACACCACGTCAGACGGAGTCTATCTTTATATTTGGAATTCACGCTGGCTGAAAATAAGTTTGTCTTGGTACAGCTATTGTAGGCGATTGGCATTATGCCATATACACTGCAAAATTACCATGCAATGCAATTTATAATCACTGAAAAATACAGAACTCCATGATGTGATCATAATTACCATTTAGCTGATTCGATATGGTAGGTATTCAATGGACTAGAACAGAGTAAAAGGATTGTGATTAACCAATGAATAGTATACTTACTTCCATAACATCTAGTAGATATGGTGTCCATCGAGAAAGTGCATAAGAACTGACGTCAACACGATCGACACGCTTCTTTTTCGATGGAAGATATGTCTGTAGAACTTTGGCAACTTTTGAAATCGGTGGTAGTCGCTGAAGACATACACATCTACCTAACTGAAACTGTGGAATATTCGTTTGACTAGGTAGCGTCATAGTAACCGGCTATTTAATGCAAAAAAAAAAAATAAAAAAACATATTACACCGTAAAGTGAAAAATTAGAGGGGTCTAAAATATTAATTTAATACATCTGTACTTGCTGAGTCGTATTCCGTGATGTCACCATGTCAGTAATGCAGAAGTCAGGAGTAGAGTTTTAGGGAGAAGAGATAAGTCGGTTGATGAGGTTGTGAACCTTCATCGACTGAGATGGTTGGGACATGTGTTACGTATGCCTAGTCGCTGATTGCCTCGTCACACAATGTTGGCCGAAGTAGGTCCAGGCTGGAAAAAAACCCGAGGTGGCCAGACTAAAACATGGCACCAATGTATGAAGTCTCTGACTGTTGGTTTGAGCCATGTGGGGTGATGCAGACTGGGTGGTTGGGGTCCGTGGGACAAGAGGAACAAGTGGTTGGAGACTGACTCTAGGTGATCACATGGCTCAGAACCGATGTCAATGGCGCAGATGTATACACACATTATCCTCATCTTAACTACACTATACCAATCTCACCATTTTCTCATTCCCCTTTTCTTTCTTTTCGTACTTTGTATTTCTTTTGACTGCATTCTCTTATCTTCATCTTGCACCTCACTGCCTTTTTACTTGATGTACTGATATGAGGTGCGGTCACTCGGACGTTTGCGCAATAATGCCTGGTCCTAGGTTGATCTGTATGGATGGACTTGCTGAATCGTCGGCTCACCTTTTTCCTCTCTCTATCTTTTTCCTTCGAGGTTCTCGTGGTCACTACCAAACTCACACTACTCTATACATCCCTCTGCAACAACGTACCTACTTACAAGCTAGACGAAAACGTATCAACAGCTGGTCGTTACACATCAAGTGAATTTAGAGTGACTCTAAAGGCCATCCGAGAAACAACTGAAATAACCAATTAAGCTTCTTTGTTTCAAGAAAATGTACCTTTCTAGCCGAAATGAAGAAACCTAATTGACTACTTCATTCGTTGCTAGGGTGGCCTTTAAAGTCGCCGATAAATTTAATTGTACAGGAGCAAAATAGGAGATGAAATTCATAGAGAATAAAATTAAAGATTGTAAATAAAAAACAGAAAGAGTGAATGAACTTTTTCGAGTTAATTATCACTAAGGAATGACATTTTAGTTTCAGAAACCAACAACATTTGATTAAAATCCTCGGAACGAAAAGAATTATGAAGTCTAACAAGGTACAATCAAAATAAAGATAAGTAAGCGGATGAAAGTCACTGGTATTAGGTTCATAATCAAAGAGAACATTCTCAATGCAGTATAAGTGCACGTGAGGCTTTCAGTTTCAATATTGAAAATAACTACAAGTTTACACATATGGTTTATATACGGAACAGAAATAATTAGATCTTCTTGATGTTATAACTTGTATTCCTACTTCGTTGATTGGACCGAAGTAGGCATTCACATGCTAATAGCTGCAGTTCGATCTGATCAACCACAAACATCTACAAGCTGTTACATCAAGAAAACAACACTATAACCATCACACAAAGAGTGGTTACCATCACTCAGTAACCTTGTGGATAACTCTCTCACGTTTGAAGCGACTGGTCCTGGGAACAATAGTGCTTACTAGAATGCAGGTACATTCAGCTGACAAGTCCTAAATAGGACGAAACGTGAGTTCTGGATCTCATCATTAATAACAGCAAATAGTTATTCAATATTTCATGGATCTCAATAAAAATGACTGAACGATAACAGTAATATATAGTATAGTAAAAGGTATTATTAATTGCATTTCTCACAGGTAACAAAGACCATTGAAATGAATAGTGGATTATTAAAGACAACGGAAGTAGTTGCATAAAAGTTCATTTTAAACACAAATCCAAAAAAAAAAAAACAAACAAACGATGGTCTTTAAAACCTTAGTAATAATCAATACTAAGAGATCCTTTCTCTATTGTTCATTTCTCACATATAAATTGAAAAGCGTACACATACATACTTAACAAAAACAAACAAACCAAGCTACATTGAGAAATTTTGATCTATATATATACTTTTAAATTGATAAACATTTATTAGAAACAATATTTATTTTATTTAAATCACCATGAGAAATAAATTGAGAACAAAGTGAAGAGTATAGTCAAATGATTATTTCAAGCGTACAGTATTGATTAAACTTACTTTTACATATCCTGTACAAAATGAAAAAAAAACATACGCTATCTCACGACCTATATACAAACCGAAAAGTAGTTAGGGGATTATTGATTTATTTTTGAGTATTTTTTTTCTTTCGCTTATTCCAGCTATTCTCAGCACCAAGTGTTCATCCATTCTTTCAAAAGATCATGTCACTAACTACCAGCTTTCGTAGATGTCTTACGCGAAACGAAAGGTATTCAATCCACCTTATGCATTCGACGATGAGCCACACCCATAGTTTAAGGGTTAGTGATACCACTTGGTTGCCCAAACGTCAGTAGATGGAGCAGGGTTCGAACCCGTGACCCACACTGGTTGGAAGTTGATGTGACTGTAGGATAGACATGGGTTCCAATAATATGCGAAACGAGTAATATGACTACTGTTCTCCCCCACACCCTATACCTCACTGACCTGCGAAAATTAGAAGACTAAAACGGGTCTGAGTGACTTAAGGAAGACGACTATACTGGACAAAAACAGTTTTTAAATACAGCTGCAACTCAGAAATGAAACCACTAGATCACCAATCAGATGGACATGAATCAAGATCTGAAACGATAATACTTCTACGCCGACGGCGAATGACCTTGAAAGGTGATTTCAATTTTTGGCAACATCCTAACAAAAGTCAACTCCCTAAACCACTAAGCCACAGCCGGTTTTTACAACAAGTCGTTATTATTATCATTATTATTGTTTGTCTCTTGGATTCCCGATGGAACATAAGGCTTCAGTTGCATGTTTCCACTTCACTCTCTTCCCTGCAGTCTTTTCAACCTGGATCCACCACTGTCCACAAGCTTTCATTTATTCCTCACATAATCTCCTACATGTCACCCTCGGCACCGACACCCAACTCGTCGTTTCCGTTTTTGGTTCCACTCGTAGGCCTGGCCTGACTTATGATGTCCCCGTATGGTTTTCTGTGTGTACCCAATCCAATCCATCTCCACTTTCTTCCATTGCATATTTGTTGGGTGATGGGTTGTTGGTTGGTTCGTTGCCAGTCAGCCAGCCAACCAGCCAGCTGGAGTTCCTTGTTGCATATTCTTATTATTCAGGCGGTTCATCTGATCTCCAGTGTCAGTATCGAGTGCGTGTAGGTGGCAGCTGTTGACAGATGTTTGTAGTTTGTTGGAAATGTTTTTCGTAATGTGCCAAGTCTCTGAAGCATCACATGGAAGTACTGACTTACTTGACTGAATAAGTGTTGAAAATCCGGATATTGTTCAAGTTTTATGCTGAGTGGAGTGGAGTAGACCTCTGCACTGATTATTTCAGGTTAATGAAGTCCTTCCTGTCTTGCTGTCTTTTCGATCCTGGCTTTGACATCCTCATGTGTGTGACCGCCGTCGCCTGTCGTATAAGCGAAGCTGTCTGGGCAGGTAGATGAAAGAGGTAACTTCCTTTAGATTTCTCCCGTTAATGGTGATTGGTGCTTGTTGTTGATATTGGTTGGGTATCTTCATCATCTCTGTCTTCTTTACGTTCACCCGAATTCCCATCTTCATTGCCTTTTCTGTCGTTACAACGCCAAAATACAGAAGATAACTTTTCTATCATTACATTTTCCAACCAACATAATCTTCATTCTTATTTCATAAGCTTCGTAGTCAAAGACTATTTTATGTCCTTCATGTATACTAGTTATCACTGAAAGGAGCATTATCTTTGAAGTGATTCAAACTGAAATTATTTCAAGTGTAAACTGAAACAACAGTAGTGGCTAAAACTGATCGATTCCGGTATGAAACATTCACCAGCTGAGGACTATGAACAGATAACCCTCTACCTAGTAAGGTTCAAGCAGTTAAGTAGGATAATTGACCTTCATGTAACACATATGGTTTAAGGGATATTCAGTGGATTCGTACATAGTTGTAGGGTTCCAGTGAGTTACATTACATAATCCAATTGGAAAGTTAAATGAAGGTATATTAGATTTGTTTACTTGATTTACAATACACAGTGATACAGTATTATTTATTTACTTAATGACGAAGTTTCGAACATAAATTACCATCGCTCATAGTCAATGTATTCACACTATTTTCGACATCTGACTTTGATAGTCCCATCACCTCATGTTATTTGTTGTTATTGGTAGTAGAATTTCCCATATCTCTGGTATAGGTGTTGCGTCATTTCCGTTACACGTGTTGGGTGTTGGTTGATTGGATGAACAAACATTTAATCCTGCACCTGATAAATAGTGGTGATATGTGGATGACACATATACTGCGATGAAATCGGAACACATCGACAACTTCCCCACCCTATACAAAAGTTACATCAGAAACTTTACGTAGGATCCTAAACAGAGCTGGAATTAGGGTGGCATTTGAACCTCCAAACTCACTCAGAGATAAACTTTGTCGGCCGCTTTAAGGATCCGATAGAATCAATAAACCAAAATAATCCAATCTATCAAATTACATGCAATGACTGTGAGTCAGGTCAAGCACATAGGTCAAACTAGCCAGTAGGCATCAGTCAGATTATCGGAACATAGGAATTTAGCTAAATATAGAATGACAGACTAGAATAATATCAATAATCTAGAAAAAACTCGGCTATTGCAATGCATACATCAACAAAACTATACAATAGAGCGACCTCCCCAGGTTAACTAGTATACTAGTTACTAGCCGGTCCTAAGCCCGGATAAAGAGGGAAGGTTGGGCATACGGCTAGCAACCCCACCCCGGAAAACCAATCCAACCGCTAAACAAACTTCAAAGCACAAACAAAATATAAAAAATAAAAACAAAATTATTCCTCGCTGGAATCAGAGAGGCGAAATGACGCCGGTTGGTGAAAGCCTGCCTTAGGGAAGCCAATTGGCTGATGTGTCTTCTCACGATGAAAGCAAAAGCAAACGTGGGGACAAGGGATGTCCGCACCATGTTCGAACCTAGCAAGGCTGCCCAGATTGCAAACGAGATGAAGAGGTATCACATTGAAGTGCTTGGAATTCGCGAAAGCCGATAGAATGGGAGTGGATTCTCCAAACTGTCAACTGGAGAATAAATAATCTACTCCGGTCACCCAGATGACAACCACGAGCACACTGAGGGAGTGGCTACCAGGATGTCCCCACCCAAGAGCATCGAAGGCTCTCCTTCATGCAGTGGGAACCAATCTCCTTCTCCAGGATCATGACAGCAAGGTTCAACTCAAAAGGATGGAAAGTCACGATCATACAATGCTACGCTGTGCACCTACAAACAATGCAGATGAAGAGAAGAAGAAGGAATTCTACAGACAACTGCAATCAGCACTGGACAAGATCCCACCACAGTTGGCGACATCAAAATTCTAACAGGTGGGGTGACATGAATGCAAAACTCGGAGCAGACAACACAGTAAGAGAACTAACCATGGGTCGAGAAGTGTGCGTGAAATGAACGACAACGGAGAGTTATTTACAGAATTCTGTGCATTCAACAATTTGGTGATTCGAGGCACTGTGTCCAAGCACAAGGATATCCACAAAGTGACATGGATTTCACCAGATGGACACACTAAAAATTAGATCGACTTCATCTCAATCTCAGGAAAGTGGAGACGCAGCCTACTTGACACAAGGTCAAGAAGGGGAGCAGATGTAGACTCAGACCACTCACTGTCTGGTGCAAGGAACCTACCTCCAAAGTCAAGTTGAAAGCCTTCAAAACAGCTGGTCATAGACGACCACAGTTCAAGTACAACACTCAGAAACTGTAGGACGAAACTACAAAGAAAATCTTCACGTCAGCCATCAAGAAAAATGAGAGATATCGAAGAACATCCCTGAAGAAACCTGTGTGAATGAACACTGGAACTCTTTGAAAGAGATGTGGAAAGAAACCTGCATAACTGTATTAGGAACGAAGAAGATGCGCTAAGACAAGGAATGGATTTCCACGGACACATGGAAGCTGATAGAGCAGGGAGAGGAGGATGGTGAAGCAGAAGATAAACCAGTGCAACGATGCTCAACGTTAAGAGGAACTGAGTACAATGTATGAAACACTGGACAAAGAAGTGAAGAAGAGTGCACGCAAAGACAAAACACTTCTACGACACACTGGCAAAACACTGAAGCAGAACAGGCTGCAGGTAAGAGAGACAGAGACCTGACAACATTGTATCAAATAACCAGGTTACTTACTTACTATCTGGGAAGAAAGAGATCAACACAGATGAAACCAATAAAGATGATGAAGGGAATCCCATCACCAAAGAAGAGAAACAAAGGAAACGATGGGCCAACCACTTCAAGAGGCTCTTGAATAGACCACCACCACCTGCACTTCGTTCAGAGATACCACCTGCCGCCCAGCCACAGAACTACAAGTGAACACAATCCCCCCCCTCGCCAACAAAAGTCGAAGTCCTGAGCACCGCAAAGCTACCGAAATGCAGGAAAGCAGCAGGACTAGAAGGAACCCCGCCTGAAGCGCTGAGAGCAGGCGCAGAGACAACAGCGGACACGCTCACATCACTATTACAGAAGGTCTGGAAGGAACGGAAGGTACATGCCGGTTGATTGGAAGAAGGGCTACCTTGTTAAACTCCCAAAGAAGGGTGACCTGAGTCTTTGCAAGAACTGGAGTGAAGTCATGCTGCTGTCCACCCCAAGCAAAATATTAAGCCACATCATCCTGGAGAGACTAAAAGATGCATCGGATTCAAAACTACGACCGGAACAGGCTGAAAGGATTCAGGAAGTACAAATCGTGTGCGGAGCAAATTGCAACGCTTCACATCATCGTAGAACAGAGTATAGAATGAATAGCAGTCAACTCCCTACCTCAACCTCAACTTCATCGACTTTGAAAAGGCCTTCGACAGCGTCGACCGAGAAGTTATTTGGCAGGCAGTGGCTTCAGCACTACGGAATACAACAAACCTTTATCAATCTCATTCAACAACTATATGAAGACGCCACATGTCAAGTAATTCACAGTGGAAAGCTCAGTGATGCCTTTGAAGTGAAGACAGGAGTAAGATAAAGCTGCCATCTACTATCACCCATGATATTCCTGATTCAGGTCGACCCAACTAGATCATGCAACAAACAGTGAGAAGCGAGAAGAGGGGGATACGCTGGACAGCGGAAACGATCTTAGGAGATTTGGATTTCGCCGATGGCTTATTTCTGATGTCGCACAAACTCGAAGATCTACAGGCGAAAACCAACAAGTTGACAGAAGAGGCGAGACAGGGCAGCGAAGACGTGACTTCAAGTGGATGTAGAGAAGACAGAGGTGATGAAGATACCGCACCAACAACTCCAACAACAACAACAACAAACTCCAATCACCATCAATGGGAGAAACTTAAAGGAAGTAACCTCTTTCACCAATCTAGGCAGCACTGTTTCAACTACAGGCGGTGACACAGACGAGGACGTCAAAGCCAGGATCGGAGAGACAGGAAGACAGGCGTTCATTAGCCTGAAACCAGTGTGGAGATCTTCTGCACTCAGCATGTGAAGCAAGATTCGGATTTTCAACACCAATGTCAAGTCAGTGCTGCTATACGGTTCAGAAACTTGGTGTGTCACGAAAAGCATTTCCAACAGACTACAGACATTTATCACATCAACAACTGCCTACGCTGGCTCGTTACTGAAGATCGGATGGCCAGAAAGAATAAGCAACAGGGAACTCTGGCTGGCTAGGAACGAACCAACCAAGAACCTATCGCTCAACAAATATGCAGAAGGAAGTGCAGATGGATTGGGTATGCACTAAGACCATTCAGGGACATCATGCGCCAGGCCAGGCACTCGAGTGGAACCCAGATGGGAAACGGCGAGTTGGGTGTCCCAGGGTGACATGGAGGAGGTCGTATGAGGAAGAAATGAGAGTTTCTGGGTTGTCCTGGAGCCAGGTACAAAAGAATGCAGAGAACAGAGTGCACTGGAGACGTGCTACTGAAGCCGTTGTTTCCACTAGGAACCCAAGGAA